AAGGTAGGCAGTTCAAACCCACCAGCCACTCCGAGGGAGAAAAGATGAAGCTGTCTGCTTTCATGAAAATGTACAGTCTCGGGGACCCACAGGGGCAGTTCTACTCTGTCCTATAGGGTCAGAGTGGGTTGGGTCAGGTGGCATTGTGAAGTATGTCTTCTAGGGGTGTGGGTTGGTGTTCCTCCCTTACATTCTCCCTACGTGGGTGCCCTGCACTGAAGGGACCACAGAGGCCATCCCACAGGTGAGGAGCATAGTCTCAGGAAGGTTGCTGACTTGCCCAAGGTCAGTAGCACCAGTCAGGGAGGCCCACCGTGAGCCTAGTGCAGAACGTGGAACTGCTAGGACCTGCCCTTCAAAGTACTTCTTCATCTAACGTGCGACTGCTGTCAGCCTCCGTTAAGTTGGCTCCTATGCCTGGTGACAGCACAGACGCAGAGAGAACCGTTGCCCCAGCCCTCTGCCATCGTCATGGTGGTTGGTGAGGGCCAGTCCATCGTGGGAGCCACTGTGTATTGGAGCGCTTTCGGACCTCTGTTGTGAACAGTGTGTTTTCGTTGGCTACTCTGCAGAAGTAGATTGCCAGCGCTTTCTATCTAGTCTCAGTCTGGAAGATCTGCTGGAGGCAGCCCACCATGGGTGACCCTGCTGGTATTTGCAAGGCTGGCGGCATGGCTTCCAACATCATAGTAAGACAAGCCACCGCAGCATAACAGACCGAGGGGTGGTCGCGACTTAAGAGATCTCTTTGAAATACATCTCGGGGTTCCTAAGTCACGATTCAGACATTTGTTGACTGTTGGCAGCATGAACACAACACAGCAGGATTGAAAGCCAGCCCCAGGGGCACTTGCAGGTGTCCAGGGCGCTGTATCACGCTATTTGCAACTGCCGCCACATTGAACTCGGGTGCACCCAATCTTCATCTCTATTCTACCCCCAAGGAGCTTGAGACAGAGCGTAAGCGAGGGTGCAGACTTCCCTCTCTCCCAGGTGGTAGCCCCCAGGACTCTCGCTATGGGTGGTCTGGTTCCCGGGTGCTGCAGGTCCTTCCCCTGTCAGTTGACAGCCGAAGAGATGTGAAAATGTCATTTGGAGCAAGATAGAAGGAAATAGTGTGCAGGCGCAACAAATGTTAAACATCTTCATTCGTTCATTCATTCCTTCATTGCTGTGGCATTTAGAGCTTTTTAACTTAACCTTTTCCGCCACTTCTTCACAGCCGCTTGGCTGGGTTTCACAGATGGTGTTCACTGCACGGCTCTTTCAACATCACAATGCAAGGGGGCTTCGAAAAGTTTGTGGGGAAAATCCCATTTTTCCAGGAACAGTTTGAAGTCCGTCCCCCCCCCCCCATGTAATATTGTTATGTGCATCTTTTGATTGGGCCTATTGGCTATTTCCTGCAGGAGGAACTTTGTGCTCCCCTGTGAGTTACAATCTCAGCCCCTTGGGGATTGCTGTGCTCTGCCCTGTAGGGCTGCTGTGAGTCGCAGTCGACTCCATTCGGGGCACCTGCACTTGCGTGTCCACACCTGAATACTGTTGTCTGTAGGCATTGGAAGGGTTTCCATCACTTCCTGATCAGTCTCAGCTGTTTCCTAGGTAAGTTGCCTGGAGAATAGGTGGGCTGGGGCACGGGAGCTATGTGAGGTTAAAGCGCTTTGTGCTTCCACTGTCCAACTGCAGCTTTTCTGATGCACTGGTTTTGAGCAGAAAGAGCAGAGAGGGAGTGGTCGTGATCAAGAGAAAAAGGCACTGGTGGAAAGTTGTGGAGTGGGAAGTAGATCATCTTCACAAGGGACTCCAGGAAGGTGAAAAAGAGTGGGTGAACTTCGCAGTAGCCAAATAAATAAACATTTCCCTTGCCCCTCAATCTCTGAGAGGAGACCAGAGGAGAGAGGATCTTGTGTGATGAATAACCTAAGACTTGTGGGTAGAAAACACTCCATTGACAGGAGACGAACTCCTTTCCCCAGGAGAACAAAGGGTAGGGTAAGGACTCCACTTCTGACTGAAGCCTGCCTGGGAGTCAAGGCTTGGACCGGCGCTGTGCCCCTGTGCCTTCTTGCCCTCAGGCCCTCCTCCCACAAAATGGGAATAATAATATTTGGGCAGAATGAAATGAATTTTAAAATCAGAATTTGGCCAAGGCCAAAACAGACTATTGTAGCATGAATGGAATCTGAATAAAAAGAAGAAATGGAAAACTTAATCAAAAGAATTTACATTACTAGAACTTAAATCGTATCATGGTTTGAAAAAGTAACTACTTTTTAAATAAGTGACTATTGTTACGAGCTCTTTTGAGTGGTAAGTGATTGCGTAGTACGGTCGGGGGAGAAACCAGGAATGCTTAAACAGAAGTAAGCCAGCGTTAGCACTTCCCACAGGCTTTGATTTCTTGTGGCTGTCCTGCCTTTTGCAAAGAGCTACAGATCACGGAATGACCAGCCTGTGTGAGTCCTTCAATAGCAAGCAACGGGGCGAGTGCAGATAACCTCCACATTTGAAATTCATATCTTAAACTCCCTTTTAACAAACCTTTTAGTTTGGACTAACTTTGGGCACAAAAAGATTCAGAAATAGTACAAAGTCTACCTTCATACGTGCCCCCACCCAGATTTCCACAGAGGTTAACATTTCACCACGTTTGCTTCTCTCCCTCTTTCTGTAACTCTTTTTCATGAAAGTAAGTTGTAGAAATACTTCTTTACTCCTAGATAATTTTAAAAATATGTATCTTTTAAAAACAAAGATGTTCACGGAATCGTTACCAAAATCATAATTAAACATAGGAGAGAAAAAACACGATCCAGACTCAATGCCACCAAGTTGATTCCACTTTATAGTGAGTGACCCTACAGTAGAGTTCAAGTAAAGGAAACATAGTAGTTACACGTTGGGCTGCTAACCCCAAAGTCGTAAGTTCAAAACTACTAGCTGCTCCACGGGAGAATGATGAGACTTGGTACTCCCATAAAGAGTTAATGGTCTTAGAAACCCACAGGAGCATTGACTGATGGGCACTAAGTTGTTTTTGTTTTGTTTTTTTTAAGTAATAGGACAGTCGAACTGCCCCATGGGCTTTTCTTTCATTCTTTTTTTAAAATCATTTTATTGGGGGCTCGTACAACTCTTAACACAATCCATTCATCCATTGTGTCAAGCACATTTGTACATTTGTTGACCCCATGGGCTTCTCAAGCCCATTCATGATCTCCAAAGCTATACTCTTATCATCTTTATGGAAACAGACTGCTTATCTTTCTCCTGATGGGTTTGAACCTCCAGTCTTTCAGTTAGCAACCAAATGCTTAACGCTGTACTACCGGACTCTGCATTGACCTGGTTCGCTTGTTTCATCTACAGATCTCATTCAAATCTTCTTTTTTTTAAAAAAATTAAAAAAAGAAGTGACTGTATTTTGTTGTTGCAGCTGTTAGGAGCCATCCAGCTGGCTTCTACTCTTTTTTTTATCATTCAAATCTTACCAATTGTTTCATTAAAAACCATTTGTAGCAAAGGGAAAAAAATTCCTTTAGTCTTTGTCTTTCATATTTGACTTTCGAATGGACAGATAGACGGTGCCCAGCACCTGTATCATTCCCAAGAGCCACCAGCGTATCAGAGTTCATCATTGTGCCTATTGTGCTTGTCTATCTCACTGAGGGCTCCCTCACGGCTCACAAACCACTACTGCACGAAACATTAACTCCTTCTATAGGGATTGGTTCTTTTCTGATGATGTGCCCAGGAGCCACGGTGGTATATTTGTTACATGATGGACTGACATGGTCAACCGTTCAAAACCATTAGCTGCTCTGCGGGACAAAGATAGGTTTTCTGGTCACGAAGGGTCTTAGAAACCCACAGGGGCAGTTCTACTCTGCCCCATGGAGTTGCTGGGAGTCAGAATGGACTTGATTGCAGGGAGTGATATGATGTGTCTGAAGCAAGCGAGTTGGTCAGTGGTTTGTTGGGATCCATAGACTTCCTCACCCGTTCATTTCATGTAGCAGATTGCCAGATCTTGCTTCCTAGTCTCAGTCTTGCAGCTCCACGGAAACTTGTGATCGCTAGTGTTTGAAGCACCAGTGGAAAATTTCCAGCATTCTAGACACACACACAGCCACCACAGTACAACAAACTGATGGGTATAAGTAGGTATATATTTTGTATAAGCTGTATATGGTATGCAGCTACCTTGCCGCCAGCCACTCACCCTCCCACCTCCCCTACCTCTTTATGGTTAGATTTAGATGATAGGTTTTAGGTGAGAATGAAGCACAGGTGATCTCATCATAAGATACCATTTATTTTCCCAGTATAGTTGATGCTAATGTTGATTTTGGTCACTTGACTTAAGGTCATGGCCTCAAGGTTTTTCCTCTTTGTAATTAATAAGTATCTTCTGGGAAGGCACACTGAGACTGTAAATATCTGGTTTCATTGAACATTTGCATGCATTGGTTTTAACATTTATTTGTGGTTCTCACCAAGGACAATTAATACTATAGTTGCTAAATAGTGGGTAAGTTTTAAAGTGTGCCAGTGATTGCAGGCACAGTAATAGCACACCCACCACCACTATTAACTAGACGAAGGAACACGTTGTTTTTGAGCCCTTTTTAATAGTCTTCCAGTGTCGCTTTTATAGTTTTTAGCACGTCTGGATCACAGACCGGTGAAGGATATGACGGGCCTGTTGTTGGGAGGTTTCCTTGTGATCTACTGAGCTAGCCAAGTAGGCATTCTGTCCTCCAGAGATGTAAAGAACCTCTCTTGACGGTCTTTCTCACAGGCTGGATTTTGTTCAGTGCAACCTCGTGGTGGTTTTTTCCCCAGCATGTTTCTCTGTTTTGTATAGTTCCTGAAAATCGATCTAGAGGCTCAGAATTAGATCTGAAAGTTTCAGAACCCGTTCCTTTCCTGCTTCACAGACTGTTTGCCTTTTTTTCAAATGTGCTGGTTTTAATGGAAGTTGTATACAAGATATTTCACTCTTGCATCCTCTCAAGTGATTCTTCCTTGTATTTGCCCTTTTCCTTTCCGACTTGGCAAGATTTGGCTTTCCGCTCCAGGATCTTTTTGCGGTCTTTGTCCAGTTTTAACCTCGGAATGACCACCTTGCTGGGGTGAATGCCCACATGCACAGTGGTGCCCTTAGCTTTATCTCGCTCAATGTAGATGATGTATTTCTTCCAGTAAACCTGGACCACCACTTTGCCAATCTGAACTTCATCATCCTTGCGGATGGCCATGGACCGAACATTGTATTTCTGTCTCAGTTCCTTGGAAAGAGGGGAAGACATAATCTCCCTGCGAACGTGGGAGGGTGCATTGAAATGCCTTTTCCCGTTTTTGCTCCCGTCCGAAGTCACAAAGGGATTGAACTTCATTGTGGCTCCTTCAGCGATGGCCCCAGAAGGGAAAAGAGCCTTTTTTTTTTTTTCTTTTTTAACATTTTATTAGGGGCTCATACAACTGTTATCCCAATCCATACACACATCAATTGTGTAAAGCGCATTTGTA